CCCCTCTTGAGAAATGAGGCCTATGCCAGGCATCACTGTTAACCTTCTTCCCAAAGCCCCCCAGGGCCCAGGACAACAGAGGCCTTCTCCCTTTTCCCCACCCCATACCCATTCTAATGAACCCCAGGAAAGCATCCAGATATCTCACATTTGCCAATCCTGCCCCCAGCACCAGCCTGTGAATACAGACATCTTGACCAGAGGGATGCTTCTAAACTAATTCAGACTAAAGTGTAATGGACTAAAAGCTCGTTCAAAGCTATGAGTTCAAATTGGATCATACTGCAAGACACCTCAGTGTCAGAAGGGAGATGTGCACTAGGCAGTACTGAGCTCAGGGCCTGAACCTGTCAGTGGCAAGGCCTAGGGGAAGTTCTTAACCTCTCTAAGCCTCAGTACACTCATCTGGATAGCAATAATCACAGCACTAACCTCTAGGCTACTGTGAGAATTCCCTAAGCTGATGTGTATCAGTGCTTCAGCACAGTGATAGGCACACAGTAGGTGATCAGAAACAGTAGCTGTGCTGATAATTTGGAGAAAGCCTGGAAATATTGAGGTATTCAACTGAAGGTCACAGCATCTATTAGGCAGTGTTAAGTTAGAGGCCATTTCCCGCCCAGACCAGTGGCCGCAGGTGCCAAAGGTTTACACAAAAGCTCTGGGGAGAAAGACTTAAGGCTGAAAATGCTTTCCACTAAATGAACGTTGTCACAAACTGGGAAAAGACCACCATTAGTCAATTTGGCTAGTAGAACACCTGGGGTCCAGCTCGCAAAAGCCTAGTATTAAGAGTGGAGTTTGGCAAGAGTGGCGGTTCCCTTGGGAAACGGGGCTCTAATGGTGGGATTCCTATATGTGACAGACTCATGAAGAAGCCATGTGGAGCACAGAGATCTAAGTCCAGTCCTGGCTCCCTACCAATGGAAACTTCATCTCTCTTGAGGCCTCAGTTTTACCATCTGAAAGATGGCACAGTTGTATGGAGAACATCTATCTCCAAAGAGCCTTGGGCCTCTCTGATCCTGGCAATTGACAAATGACTCAGGGCACCACCTCAGCCAAATCCTGTGGCCCTCACACTCTCTGAGGACAGCCCCACTCTGAGAGGCCAGAGGAAAAGGAAAGGGGTTATTACACTCTAGCTGACAGTGGACCAGAATCGGAGGGTCTTGCCGCCAAGGGGTTTGCTTCCTCTGCTTGGTAGCCTGCTATGGCTGGATCAGGCCAAACGCAAGAAATAATAAATCCTAACCAGGCTTTGCCCAGCCAGGAGGCCCCGGCTGGCTCTTGTCATAAAAAGATCTTATCCCCATGAGCACCCGTGTAGCCTGTAGAGGACTCCGCCCTCCTCCCCTCTGTCCTCTGCCTCCACTTTCTATTTCCTGTGACAACCTGCAAACTGAAGACCAACTTGCCTCTCCCAGGCTTCAGTCAGAACCCCCCCACCCCCCACCCCCGGGCCCCAGCTGCAGGAGGCCCTACAGAGTGTAATTCCCCTCGCCCTCCTCTCTGCCCTGGGCCCGTCCGGACAGATTAAGCCTTTGTCACACACACCCAGAAAAGCTCAGGGCCAGATGGGACAGGACAAGTGGTGTCAGATCATCAACCTGAGGCTGGCCAGGACTAGGAAAGGGGCCTGACCACAGCCCTGCATAGGGCTGTGGGAGGGGATAGGGGCCGGGGGTGGGGGGCAGCCAGAGAGCAACACGGAAGAGAGATGACACACCACGGCCATCCTGGGGACAGAAACCATGGCAGAGGCCCTTGCTGCTGACTCAACTCACACATTCTCTCTTCCCTGAAATTTTTGTACTCCCTTGAAGCCCTAAAGTCTTCCTCATCATGTCTTTAGCTATGCCTACCACCCCTACCACCTGGGTGACCAAGGGGTAGGCAAAGTCCCACCCACCCCATTACCCCAGCACCCACCACAAGGCCTTCGGGTATTAGCCCAATGCCTTGGACAGAGGTCTATGGTGCAATGACCTTCACCAAAACCCACCCATGACAAAACTAGAGATTTCTCTCTACTGAGAGAAATTTGGCTAGTAGAACACCTAGGGTCCTCTGGCCTTTCAGAATAGGGCTGTCATCAGAGACTGTGAGGGTCACAGGATTTAGCTGAGGTGGTGCCCTGGGCCATTTATCAATTCCCAGAATCAGAGAGGCCCAAGGCTCCTTGGAGATAGATGTTCTCAGTTCATTACCAAAGGCAATGATAACTTTAAGTGTGTGTGTGTGTGTGTGTGTGTGTGTGTGCAGGCCAGTGAAGGTAGGGATTGTCCTTTGCACTTTTCAAAGAAGGTCCCATTCAGCCTCTCCCAGGAAGAGGCCATGGCTGCCCCAGAATTCCCAGCAGGATTTGTTCCTCTTAGATCAGTGAAAAGGAAAATGGAAATATAAAAATAATAACCAGGCCCCAGAAAGGTACTTGGAGATGGGGGTGGCAGGACTCGGGCATCGCCTCTGCTGGCTCTGGCTGGTTAGGCGAGTGGCAGGTAACTAACGGGCTCTCTGGGGACCAGTGGGCCAGGCAAGCAGGCTGGGGAGCTTGAGGGGTGGGCTGTCAAGGGAGGGCACTATCTGTTGTGTTTGTTGCCTCCTGGCAGCCTGGACTGGGAGGTCTGGGTCCCCTTTCTCTTACTCCCAGGCAGGTGGTCCCTTGGGGAGGGCTTATTATTGGTCTGAGAGCCAGGGAGGAGGCTGATGAGGCCCCTGCAGCCAGGCCAGGCAGGACATGTCAGTGTGGGCTTCAAGAAATATCTGAAGCGACCACATGGGCTGACAAGACCTGGGGCCCAGACCTAGCACCTAGTTTCTGCTTGTAGCCTGGATAGGGGGAGGGGGTGCTGCCCCACCTTGACAGCTGTGTGGATAGGGGGCAGATGGACTGCTCCAAATGCCCACTCCTAAGGGAGAGAGGTAAATCCACACAGAGAACCAGTGAACCAGATGCAGGGCCTGGGGTGTGGTCACCCCCCCAACTCCAAGAGTGGGTATAGGGGGAAGGGGACTCTGCCCTAGACTAGGAAGAAGGTTGAGCCAAGACTTCTAGCTATTTGGGCAGAGATAGCAGGATAGGGAATGGGATGAGACACTCACCTCGGAAGCCCTGAAGATGGAAGCCACTGACCCAGGGGAGGAGACCCTGACCCAGCCAACCATCTGGTGGGTGACTGACCTTAGAAAAACCACACTCAGGCTGGGGGCAACGGACCTAACATGGGGAGAATCATATTAGGATAGGGAGAACTGGCAGGATAGGGAGAGCTGACCTAGGCTAGAGAGAGGCAATGATCCGCACCTCCCATATGAAAAAGTGGGCACTGATTTGGGCTGGGGGAGGGGTCCTTCACTCTACGGGGAGGGGGACAATGACCCAGCCTTCCTGGGTTTCAGGAAGAGTACTGATTTAGGCTGGGGAGAATCCCTAACTCGCGTGGATTGGGACACTACCCCAATCTCCCCCTCCGAGAATTCGGCCACAGCGCGCCCCTCGGCGCGGCCCCCTGTTCCCCGTCCGGCCGGAGGCGGCAGCGGCGCAGATGGGCTGCTGGCGGCCGCAGCGCGGTTATCAGCGCTCCTCGCAGATGGGCCGCCCGCCCTCCGCGCTCACGGCTCCCCACTCCCCGCGGCCTGCAGCCCCGTCCCCTGGGCGCGGGGGGAGGCGCCTCCGGATCCGCTCCCTGACTCCCGCCTCCCTCCCTCCCGGCCCCGTCACCCCGCGGGCCGAGCCCGGGTTGCCGCCGGAGGGGGAGGGGGAGGGGACAAGTGCACTTTTCGTAACGACCGAATCAATTGTGTGTGAAGAGCCCAGCTCCGGTCGGGGACTGGGCTGAGCGCGGGGCGGGCGGGCCGGACGGGGGAGGAGCGCGGAGGGGGGAGCGGGGGAGCGAGGGAGGGAGGGAGGCCGGCGCGGGGCGGCCCCGCTCCCTCGCTCCGGCCGGGCGAGGCCAGGGAGGGATGGGGGGGCAGGGAGGGAGGCCGGGCCGGCCCGGCCGGGCCCGGGGCGGAACGCACTAACGGAGGGTCTAGGCTACTGAAAGTTCAAAGCTCCGCAGCGCCCCGGGATCGGCTGCCCCCCCAGCCCCCACCCTCTGCAGAACAATGAGGTCCCGGCGGGGGAGCCGCGGGGCCCGCGCCGCACGCCCTCTCCAGGGCGCCCCGGGCCAGAGGGGACGCCCCCGCCCGGCCGCCCGCCTCCTCCCTCTGGCGGCTGCGGTTCTCCGCCCCCTCCCCCACGCCACCCCGCCCGGACCGGGCCGGCCCGGGGGACGGGGGAGGGGAGGGGATGGATAGGTCAGGCCGCCCCCGTCCCAGGCAGGGGGGAGCGAGGGGCCCGGGGGGCTGAGGGGGCGCCCCACCCACCCACGGGAGGCTGCTCCTGCGCCAGGCTGCGGCTCCGGGCGCCCCTCCCCGGGCCAGCCCCGGGTGGGGTCGGGGCCACAGTGCCCAGCCTGGCCCCCTCCCCTGGCGCTGAGAGGCCCAGCGGACTCCCCGTCCCGTGGCTGCCCCTGCCTCCCTCTCCCCCTCAGTCCCTACGGCACCACCCTCCACACATACACACACACACACACACACACACACACACACGCCGCCCAGCCGGCCCGGGGGCGGGAGCGCTAGGCGCCCGGGACAGGCAGCCCCGGGGCGGGCGGCGGGGGGGAGGCAAGGGCTTCGGAGCAGCCGCCTGCTGGCGGGGGGAGGGGACGGGAGAACGGAACATGCTAGGGTGAGCAGTCCGGGACAACCCGCCCGGCACCGCCACGGCCCGAGCAGCGGCGCGGAGGGGGCAGGGACGCCCCGAACCCGGAGCGCTGCCCAGGCGAGCTGGGAAGGGCGGGTGAGCAGGGACGCGTGCGCCTCCAGCGGGCCCGACACACGGACAACCTTAGGGACACACGTTCGGACACACATCCACACCCCCATCCCGCTCCCGCCCGCCCGCCCCGAGCCCCGCGGCGGGACCGGCCCGCGGCCGCCGCGCGCGCACTCACCGAGCCCGTCTTGACCGGCACATACACCACTTGGCCCATCTTGGGTTCCCGGCCGCTGCCCAGGCGGAAGCCCTTGGAGCGCACCCAGAACTGGAACTTGCCTTTCTCACCGGCCGCGGGGCCGCTGGCCGCGCCAGTCCCGCCGCCGCCCTGCAGGACCTCGGCGATCCGCTGGTATTTGCTGCGTGTCACCGTCTTGGTTTTGGCCGAGTCGCCGTAGGTGCGCAGGCACCAGTCCCGGAACTGGCGGCCCAGCTCCGAGTCCCCGGGGCTGCGCTCGCGCTCCCAGCCCCCGCGCAGCAGCAGCGTCGGCTTCGGCATCC